AAGAGGAGTTTGAACTCTGGGTCCACTTGTACATGGATTTTTTTTTTTTTTTTTTAAGATTTTATTTATTTGACAGAGAGAGACACAGCGAGAGAGGGAACACAAGCAGGGGGAGTGGGAGAGGGAGAAGCAGGCTTCCTGCAAGAGGGAATACAAGCAGGGGGAGTGGGAGAGGGAGAAGCAGGCGTCCTGCCAAGCAGGGAGCCTGATGACCTGAGTCGAAGGCAGATGCTTAATGACTGAGCCACCCAGGTGCTCCTGGATCTTTTTTTTTTTTTTTTTTTAAATAATACAGAATGGTGCTGGAAATGTGTTGTCTCTTTATGATTTTCTTAATATTTTCATTTCTCTAGCTTTATTGTAAGAATACAGTATATAATACATATACAAAATATGTATCTTTTGACTGTCACTGGTAAGGCTTCTGGTCAGCAGTAGGGTATTAAGTTTTTGGGGAGTCAAAAGTTATATGGATTTTCAACTGTGGGTGTGATGGGTGTCTGCCCCTAAGTTAGGGGATGGTATTTAAGGGTCAGCTTTACATACAGTTCTCTAACCCCTCTCCCTCTCCAACCCCCTCTCCCAGTTTCCCTATGGGCCTTTCCAGTCACCTCCCTCTCAGGCAAGTACTTTCTCATTTGTAACACCTTAGGTTACTTTTCTCTTGGGCCTTTTCTTAGTCATTAAAGAAACAGTGTTGTGTCTGTTATCTTAATCTAACTTCTGAAAAACCTGACAAATGGATCATCAGAAATCCATTTTTGCTTGTATAAAATTCTAATCTTTGTGTGCGAATGTTGAATGAAAGAAAACTACTTCTAGGGGCGCCTGGGTGGCTCAGTTGTTAAGTGTCTGCCTCTGCCTTCTGCTCAGGTCATGGTCCCAGGGTCCTGGGATCAAGCCCCACATCGGGCTCTCTGCTCCACAGGAAGCCTGCTTCTCTCTCTCCCACTCTCCCTGCCTGTGTTCCCTCTCTGGCTCTGTCTCTCTCTGTCAAAGAAATAAAATCTTTTTTTTTTTTTTTAAAGATTTTATTTCTTTGACAGAGAGAGACACAGTGAGAGAGGGAACACAAGTAGGGGGAGAGGGAGAAGCAGGCTTCCCGCTGAGCAGGGAGCCCGATGTGGGGCTTGATCCCAGGACCCTGGGATCATGACCTGAGCCGAAGGCAGATGCTTAACGACTGAGCCCCAGGAAATAAAATCTTTAAAAAAAAAAAAGAAAAAAGAAAAAAAATATTTCTATTCTTTGTCAGACACAAGTTTTTGGGGCTAGAAAGTTACATAAGAAATGGTCTCTAAAGAAACATTTAGGAAGAAGCTTGCATTCTTTTTTCAAAATGTTTTATCTGACCTTGACTAATGTAGAATTCTTGAAATTTTTGGCTGTTTTAATTTAGAAATCAGTCTTTTTTTTTTTTTTTAGCAGTGAAACAATAGTTTTTTAAATCTTTTTTATTTTTAAAGATTTTTTTATTTTATTATTTATATGACAGAGAGAGCGAGCGAGAGAGGGAATACAAACAGGGCAGAGTGGGAGAGGGGAGAAGCAGGCTTCCCGCTGAAAAGGGAGACCGATGTGGGGCTCGATCCCAGGACCCTGGGATCATGACTTGAGCTGAAGGCAGATGCTTAACGACTGAGCCACCCAGGTGCCCCTATAGTTTCTTTTTAATAAAATGCTGTACATATTTAGTCACATGGAATGTTACTCTTTTTCAGTTTTATTGATATGTAATTGACAGGATTATTTTATTATTTTTTTGACAGGAATATTCTTTTTATTTTATTTTATTTATTTATTTTTTTAAACAATCTTTTTTTTTTTTTTTAAAGATTTTATTTATTTATTTTGAGAGAGAGAATGAGAGACAGAGAGCATGAGAGGGGGGAGGGTCAGAGGGAGAAGCAGACTCCCTGCTGAGCAGGGAGCCCTATGCGGGACTCGATCCCGGGACTCCAGGATCATGACCTGAGCCGAAGGCAGTCGCTTAACCAACTGAGCCACCCAGGCGCCCAGGAATATTCTTTTTAAATAGTGCTACCATTTGCCTTCGAATTCATTGGTCCATATTATAGAAGAGCTAAAAGGAGAGACTTTAAGAGCCAGGGCTTCTACTTTAATGGAATCATAAAGTGCTTGTAGTATAAGTGTAAGCCTTAGGAGGCTGCAAGGGTATTTGAGGCAGCGCTGATGACTGACATTAAAACTTATAACTTGAGTAGCAGACTACTGAAAATTTGGTTTCACCATAGCTATTGCATGTTTCTCAAGTTGAAAATTTCAACCCCAAATAAAGTACCATCTATTTGGAAAAAAATAAAAAATGCTAATTGAGAACCTAAAATATTGAATTCTATTAAACCATTAAGATAATAAAATATTGGAAACTTGATAAATGATACGGGTTTTAGTATTGGTTTCAGAATTAATAACTGTTAAGAAAAGTCCACAAATGAGGGGCTCCTGGGTGGCTCAGTTGTTCAGCGTCTGCCTTCAGCTCAGGTCATGATCCCGGGGTCCTGGGATCGAGCCCCGCATCAGGGTCCCTGCTCAGTGGGAAGCCTGCCTCTCCTTTTGCCACTCCCCCTGCTTGTGTTCCCTCTCTTGTTATGTCTCTCTCTGTCAAATAAATAAAACTTTTAAAAAAAGAAAAATCCACAAATGAGATGAAGATCAATTTAGCATATAAATGTTTAGGTTTACTTTTTTCTTGGCTTTAGGGGGACCTGAAATAAAATATTTATAATGGTATAATCAAACCAGTAATGATCTTTCTTTATTCTTTTAATTTGAATTATATAGGTAATCTCGAAGAATGGGAAAAGAGAAGTTCTAGAGGTCTACAGATTAAAATTTTTCTTACCTTTGATATATAATCTAGAGGATTTTTATTATATTGCATAGGAATATTGGATGAGGAAGTAGTATTTGGTAAAATGATTTTTAGTAATTTATAATGAGACTACTTGGCAGTATCAGAGAATGCAGTTAGGTTGATAATACTGGCCTCATAATGACATTTGTAATATTGACTGGGAAATAAGAACAGGTAGTACTCAAGAGAAGCGAGTGCAACTAGAATAGAAAAATAGGGGTTTACTTAATGTGTATTGTTTTCTTTGATTTATCTATCCTGTTGTGTAGATTCCCTTTAAAAGATTGCTTTTTTTTTTAATTGTGCAATGTTTAGCATTTTTTTTTTTAATTTTTTAAAAAAATTTATTTATTTGACAGAGAGAGACACAGTGAGAGAGGGAACACAAGCAGGGGCAGTGGGAGAGGGAGAAGCAGGCTTCCTGCGGAGCAGGGAGCCCGATGTGGGGCTCAATCCCAGGACCTCAGGATCATGACCTGAGCCAAAGGCAGACGCTTAACGACAGAGCCACCCAGATGTTAGTGATTTTTGAAGAGAGTAGCTAAGTCCTTTTAAGAAAGGAAAATTTATACGGAAACTAATATATAAAAAAGTGCAGTTCTGGTTTAAATGAAGGAATGGGATATATTAAAAACTTGAAAATCGCAGGCTAGATGACTGTTAATATTTTCTGGTGTCCAACTGTAACTTTGAAGTTCTGGAAAATTTAGGATCATTAAGAACATCTGAAATTCGGTTTTTTTTTTGGAGTATGAGCCACGGAAGAAAGAGAACAATTTCTCATTCTGCATTAGTCTAAGTACATTAGTTTAAGACTTAAGATCCAGATTCTTGTTATTGATGCTCTCTTAACCATACCTGCAGGTAAACTACTCTCCAGTATGACTGGGAAGGTATTATTGATCTAGTGCCTGCAATCTGGAGAAAATACAGACCGGCCTTGAACTCATTTCTTAGGTTTTGGTGAAGAATAATGCAGATGCACTAGATAAGGATAAATAAATCTCCACAAATTGTTCAGAATGGACCAGTCTGTTTTGCCCATCCTTTGAGGAAACTGAAATAAAATTTCTTGCCTTTTATACTGTAATTGATCTGTTCATGTCTCTCCGTTTGCCTGTGTGTTTAACTTCAGGATGATTTTATCTCCTCAAATGAAAAGTTGGATTATCTCATGGCAAATATTTTTTCCAAAAAGTTTTATTTTGATAATAACTGACAGTAATTGAGGACTTACTGTGTGCCAGCTGCCTTTCTTAATACACAAAGATACTAAAGATACTAACTTTAAATCATCATGATTTTGGGGCACCTGGGTGGCTGAGTCGTTAAGTGTCTACCTTCAGCTCAGGTCATGATCCAGGGTCCTGGGATCGAGCCCCACATCGGGATCCCTGCTCGGCGGGAAGCCTGCTTCTCCAAGACTCTCCCACTCCCCCTGCTCGTGTTCCCTCTCTCGCTGTGTCTCTCTCTGTCAAATAAATAAATAAGCTCTTAAAAAAAATAAATCATGATTTTGAGGTGCTGAGATCATTTTGTTGAGTAAAAACATTGTGTTTAGTTCACCCATTTTCAGATTATTTTTGGTTTCATCATAAAGTAAGCTTAAAATTTTTAGGTTTTGTGGTTCTCTGTTAAAGATACAAAAAATTTTCCTGATTTAGTTTGACTAAAAATGTGATCATATGTGCCTGTATGTCAAAGCTTATCACCCTTGAATCTAATATTGCCACAAATAAGAATGTGTTTGGGAATCTTAGAACTGGAACACTCTTGAGTTTAAAAATAGAGAAGTTATGATAGGGTGCATGCTGGAAATATGTACCTTTGACGTTCTTATATTCATTTTAAAGAAATTGACTGTTGGGAATAATGAATTCTTTATCGGCAGTCCCCTCTGCCCCAATTCATCTCCTTGCAATAAATTTGACTAAAAATCTCACCTGATCTGTGTGGGGTTTATTTGTTCTTATGGTCTTTATTTTTTAAAACCAAGAACTGTTGACGTGCCTTGTCTTACTTTGAGTTGGTTTTAGTTGAATGATTCAGTTTTCTCCCCTGCTGCTTTTCCCCCTTGTACTTGATATTTCAGGTTGAACATATTTGACTTTTTTTCCCCCAGGTTGAATTGACCAAAGCAATGGTTATGGAGAAGCCTAGTCCCCTGCTGGTCGGGCGGGAATTTGTGAGACAGTATTACACGCTGCTGAACCAGGCCCCAGACATGCTACACAGGTAAAACATCGTTTTTTATCCTGCATCTAAAGTTTTTTTTAGCATGTAGGTACTTAATACTTTAGAACCTCTTATGCATCATGCACCTTGTAGGGTTGTTGCATATAGTGCTTGGTACATAAGAACCAGTGAATGATTTCTGTTAAAATTTTAATTTTATTTTTAAGATTTTTAAAGATTTATTTATTTGAGAGATCGTGCGCGTGCACATGGCACTAGCAGGGGGAGGCGCGTGCACATGGCGCTAGCAGGGGGAGGTGCTGAGTGTCCAGCCCATGGTAGGACTATCCCACAACCCTGAGATCATGACCTGAGCTGAAATCAAGAGTCAAATGCTTAATTGAGCCACCCAGGTGTCCCTAAAATTGTAATTTTAAGTAGAATATACAAGTAGGGGGCGCCTGGGTGGCTCAGTTGTTAAGCGACTGCCTTCAGCTCAGGTCGTAATCCTAGGGTCCTGGGATCGAGCCCCGCATCGGGCTCCCTGCTCAGCGGGAAGGTTTCTCCCTCTGCCTCTCCCTCTGTCTCTCCCTCTGCTCATGTGCTCTCTCTCTATCTCTGTGTCTCAAATGAATAAATAAAATCTTTAAAAAAAAAATGTGTTGAAGACTATTCCCGTAATAATATTTTTGTGGTGTTGTGCTTTTAAAAATTGGGGAAACTTCAGTGGAAATGGTATAGGCTTTTAAATTGAGTTTATGAAATAAACATGGAAAGCTTTAGTAAAAACCATGTTTACAATTGTTCTCTGTATATGCAAACATTTTTTACCTACTGTCTTTTAGCTTTTTTACTTGGTAATCTGGGATCCTCTTTAAGGGTACTACATGTATCACATTAATTTTAGTATCCACATTCACACAGTTTTTATTTTAGAGATGTAGCATACTTTAATCCCTACTGATGAATTTTTGTTGGTTGCTTCATTTGCTCTTACAAACAGTCCTGTGTTATACAGAACTATAAATATATTTATGTGGACTTGTTAGAATAATATTTTTTTTTTTAAGTTTTTTTTTTATTAGCGAACGAGAGCCTGCGTGTGCATGCAGGGGCAGGGGGAGAGAGAGTCCTAAGCAGACTCCGTGCTGAGTGTGGAACTGGGCTCGATTTCATGACCCTGACATCACGAACTGAGCTGGAACCAAGAGTTGGGACGTTTACTGACTGCGCCACCACAGGCACTCCTAGAGTATCTCGTAGAGATTCTAAAATGTGTATTTGCTGGACCAGACTCTTTTCCTCTATACTTGGACCAGCTTGCATATTGGATATTACATGCTTATTGGGTGCAAAATTTATAAATTTGTTTTGAGTCCTTGCTCTGAAAATGGAAAATACCTTGTATATTTTTTTTTAAGGCTTTACAATTTTCCAAACAGTTTCACCTGTTTCCTATTGATCTTTACAAAAACCTTTTTAGTAAGGCATTGTTAGGATAACTTTATTTTTGCAGATAAAGATGGTAAGGGGTTAAAAATTTGCTGGTGTTGGCATGACTATTAAGTGATTGAACAGGTTTTCTTTTTTTAAAGATTTTATTTATTTGAGGGAGAGAGAATGAGAGAGAGAGAGACACATGTTGAGCAGGGAGCCCGATGCGGGACTCGATCCTGGGACTCCAGGATCATGACCTGAGCTGAGGGCAGTCGCTTAACCGACTGAGCCACCCAGGTGCCTGAAGGGGTTTTCAGCCCTCTTCCTTTTTTCTTATTATTTTTGTTTTTTATGTCAAAATTTGATTCTATGCCCTCAGAGGTTAGATAAGTTTGGAATTTGAAAAGGAGCAGGAGTTGAAAGATAACTAAATTAATATGTTTCTTGTCAATACTGATATTTTTTCACATTTTATCTCTGAAGTGCAGCTTAGATATACAGGCATATCTCATTTTGTTTTGCTTTAGGATGCTTTGCAGATATTTTTTTGCAAATTATAGGTTTGTGGCAATCTTAACACGGAGCAAGTTTATTGGTGCCATTTTTCCAACAGTATTTGCTCACTTTGTCTCTGTCACATTTTGATAATTCTCAAAATATTTCAAACTTTTCCATTACTATATTTGTTAATGGTAATCTGTGATCAGTGATCTTTGTTATTGTTATAGTTATATCGGGTCTCATGCCCATCCATATAAGACCGTGAACTTAATGTTCAATAAATGTTTTGCGTTTTCTGACTCCTTCACCAATGGCTGTACCCCATCTCCCTATTCCCTGAGACACAACAATAGTGAAATTAGGCCAGTTATTTAACCTTATAATGGCTTTTACCTGTTAAGTGAAAGGAGGAGTCCCATGTCTCTTCTTCACATCAAAAGCTAGAAGTAAGCTTAATGAGGAGGGAATGTTGAAAGCTGGAATGGACCAAAAGCTAGGCTTCTTGGGCCAGTTAGCTAAGTTCTGAGCGCAAAGGAAAAGTTTTTGAAATTAAAAGTGCTACTCGAATGAACACACGAGTTATAAGAAAGCAGAGCAGCTTTATTGTGGATATGGAGAAAGTTTGAGTAGTTTGAGGATTGAACAAGCCACAACATTCCATTAAGCCAAAGCCTAACCCAGAGCAAGGCCCTCACTCTTCAGTTCTTTGAAGGCTGACAGATGTGAAGCAGCTGCGGCAGTAGAGTTTGAAGCTAGCAGACGTTGGTTCATGAGGTTTTTTTTTTGTTTTTTTTTTTTTTTTTTTTAAAGATTTTATTTATTTATTTGACAGAGAGAGACACAGCGAGAGAGGGAACACAAGCAGGGGGAGTGGGAGAGGGAGAAGCAGGCTCCCCGCAGAGCAGGGAGCCCGATGCGGGACTCGATCCCAGGACCCTGGGATCATGACCCGAGCCGAAGGCAGTCGCTCAACCAACTGAGCCACCCAGGCGCCCCGGTTCATGAGGTTTTAAGGGAAGAAGCTGTCTCCGTAAAATAAAAGTGCAGGGTGAATCAGCAGGTGTTGATGTGGAAGCTGCAGCAAGTTCTTGAGAAGAATTAGCTAAGATAATTAATGAAGGTGGCTACACTACATAATAGATTTTCACTGTAGATGAAACTGCCTGATATTATTAGAAGCGATTCATGGGACGATGTCAAAACTATCAAGGTGAACAGGAGTTAAGAAGTTGATTCTAGCCCCCATGGATGATTTTGAGGGGTTTAAAACTTCAGTGGGGGAAGTAACTGCAGATGAGGTAGGAATAGCAAGAGATCTAGAATGAGAAGTGGAGAAGTGCTGCAATCTTACGATAAGACTTTAACAGATGAGGAATTGCTTATGGATGAGCAAAGAAAGTGGTTTCTTGAAATGGAATCTACTGGTGAAGACGCTGTGGAGATTGTTGAAATGACAACATGATAGGATATTACATAGACTGAGTTGTTAAAGCAGTGTCAGGGTTAACTGAGAGGATTAACTCCCAGTTTTGAAAGAAGTTCTGTGGGTAAAATGCTGTAAACAGCATTATATGCTATAGCAAAATTGTTAGTGAAAAGATGAGTCAGTTGATGGGGGAAAACTTCATTGTTGTCTTTAAGAAATTGGCACAGCCACCCCAGCCTTCTGCATCCACCACCTTGATCAGTCAGCAGCCATCCACATTGAGGTAAGACCCTCCACTAGCAAAAAGATAGGACTCACTGAAAGCTCAGGTGATGGTTAGCATTGTTTAGCAATAAAGTGTTTTTTAAATTAAGGTAGGCACACTTTATAGAAGTACTATTGCACACTTAATAGACTAAAGTATAGACATAACTTTTATATGCACTGGAAAACCAAAAAATCTCCTTGACTGTTTATTGCAATATTCTCTTTATTGTGCTGGTCTGGTACCAAACCTGAAATGTCTCTGAGGTATGCCTGTAATGAAAAGTGGATTAGCCAGGAGTGAACTGATTCACAGGCTGACATGCAGCCTTTTAATAACTTTAAAATTTGCAGGGTACACTTTCGGGGGTGCAGGCAGAATCAGAATGTCGAATGACGTGTATGGGTTCATTTGTGAAAAGTTGTACACCGGTAGTATAGTTATCAAGAAATTCTAATAGCAGTCATCTCTGCATTGGGGTACTTTGTGCCTGTATCAGGTTTTCCTGATCCAGTATTAAAATGAAAACAAAACAATTGAGGATATAGATGAATTAAAGCTATGGGGAATTAAAATTTGAAGCTCTTAATGCATCAGCAGAAATTATTAAAAGTTACTCTTAAACTTCACCTGCTTGAGTTACTGAGTTTTATTTTAAGTAGGTTCTGTGCCCAGCATGGAGCCCCACGTGGGGCTTGAACTCTCAGGACCCTGAGATCAAGACCTCAGCTGAGATCAAGAGTCGGACTTAAATAACTAAGCCACCGAGGTGCCCCAGTTACTGGGTTTTTAGTGGAAACCCTTCATATGCATTCTCAGATATATAGAAGGATTGGACTCTCCAAGCCTGTGGGAGGGTACAGATGTCCTTATCTGTATCAAAAATGCCTGTTTTTTCTAGAGTGAAAACAGGAACTTCTGTTTCATTCTAAGTAGCCTTCCTGACATGAACTACAGGATTTTTCCCAACACAGTCATCCTGCTCTGAAATCTGGAGCTTACTTATGTCTTGTAAACTAAAGTGTTCTGCCTAATTGACCAAATCTATTTCCATTCAGCAAATATTGAGTGACATGAAGGGGGTAGATCTATGATGGCATACAGAAATGAAAAAGCAAACCCATTCTTGCTTCCAGGAGTCTGTCAGTGAGGCACGTGGGTACCAAACATGAAAAAGCAAGTATCTAGTCTTAGGCTACTTGAAACTGACAAGTAAATTATCTCTCTGTTTTTCAGATTTTATGGAAAGAACTCTTCTTATGTCCATGGGGGGTTGGATTCAAATGGAAAGCCAGCAGATGCGGTCTATGGACAGAAAGTAAGCATCTCAAGTTTTCTGTAGGTTGTTAGGCAGTTAGAAAATAACCCATACAATTGAGGCAGATACATATTTGGTAGATTTACTGATATTTAAAGATCAAATTTTTTAATTTCTTTTTTAGAAATTTTGGTATTCATAACGATTTGGTAAATATGATAGCCATTGAAAAGCTTAAGGTTTTTTTGTTCAGGATGTAATTTGTTTTAGCATGGGTATCATTCATTTACTGTAAACATTTTTTAGGTCTGTCAATTCAGGACAATTTTAAAAAGTTCAGGGTGGTCATTGGGAATAAACTGTTCTAAGGCAAATTAGAGTAGGGGCTGTGTAGTTTGTGATTTAAACATGGAGATTATCTCTACTTGTGTTGTATTAGGAAGTTCTTTGTTGTTGGAGATTTTGTAAATTTTACGTCATTAACTCTTGCCTTGATTCCTTAGGAGATCCATAGGAAAGTGATGTCACAAAACTTTACCAATTGTCACACTAAGATTCGCCATGTTGATGCTCATGCCACTCTGAATGATGGTGTAGTGGTCCAGGTGATGGGGTTGCTCTCTAATAACAACCAGGCTTTGAGGAGATTCATGCAGACATTTGTCCTTGCTCCTGAGGTATGAAAAAAGAAACAATGAAAGGTTATGCATATCTTTTTAGAAACTATTCATTTTGAAATTTCAAACTTAAAAGTTGTAATAATAATACAGTAATTCATACTCCTTACCTAGAACCACTGCCAACACTTGCCTATATGTTTGTAATTCTTTTTGTGTTTACCTGTCATTTTAATTCAAAACCATTTGAAAATATGTTGGAGACAATCATGCCTAGTCATCCTTAGATACTTTTCCTAAGTGTAAGGAATACTCTTTCATAACCACAGTACAATTATCAAATTTAGGAAGTATTGATGTTAATATAGTTAGCAATCTGTAGCCCATATTTAAATTTTGGTGATTGTCCCAATAATAATCCTTTATGGTATTTTTTCTTTTCCTGGTCCAAGATTCAATCCAGGATTACACATAATATAATATAGCTGTCCTGTCTCCTCAGTCTCCTTAAACGTGCAATAATTCTTTAATTTTTTGTTTTTCACGATATTGACATTTTTGAGGAGCACAAAGTACTTTGTAGAATACCTCAGTTTGAATTGTCTGATATTTCTTTATGATTGGATTTAGGTTATATTAGGAAGGCACTAGATGTCATTTAGTCCTATCAGTGATGTTAACAATTGATTACTTAAGGTGATGGTCACCATGTTTTGCTGCTGTGAAGTTAGCATTTTCATTTTTCTTATTAGTAAATTGTGGTGGTTATCCTTGAGACTATGCAAATATCTTGTTCTTCATCAAACTTTTGTGTGCTAGTTTTAGCATCGTTCTTGCTGGAGTTAGCTGCTACTCTAATGGTTATAGATGGTGATTATCTATTTCTATCATTTGGTATTCATTAGTTGGCATTTTACAGTAAAGCACTCTGCCTTCTGTCTGCTGTTATTTGTGGAGTGTTTGTTTATTTAATGGATTTAACCCACTAATTAACTTAATGTCTAAAATGTCCCAGATCTATTAAGTCTGAGCTCCTTCAGGCTGGCTTCTGTTGTTTGTTTTTGGCGAGGGGAGCACTTTATAACTTTTGTGGAACAAGATGTTTCAGGCTTATCTTGGACTTTCCCTGCTCTAGCCCCAGCCCCCGTTCTGGTATCTGCTGTTTCTTCAAGGAGCCCTGGTTCTTTTTAGTTACCATGCTCGTCATGAGAGGGCCACAGGTTTATGTTGAATAATTATTATTTATTTATTTTTTTAAAAGATTTTATTTATTTTTTGACAGAGAGAGACACAGCGAGAGAGGGAACACAAGCAGGGGGAGTGGGAGAGGGAGAAGCAGGCTTCCCGCAGAGCAGGGAGCCCGATGCGGGGCTCGATCCCAGGACCCTGGGATCATGACCCGAGCCGAAGGCAGACGCTTAACGACTGAGCCACCCAGGCACCCCTATGTTGAATAATTATATTTGTACTGTCTTTCTGACTGGTGCAGACTGAACAGAGTCAGGACGCCTATCTGCATAAGCATGTGGATGGAAGTGGCTCAGTAGCGATTAGATGTTTTCTTTAGCATTACCCCTAAGATAATTTTCTGTCCAGAATGATGAATCTAAAACCCCTATCCTTTTACTGTTAGAAAAATTACAGGTTTCATTTTAGTTATGAGTTTTAGAGGATGGCTTAGATTATCTGTAGTATAAAACTTGATGGAGTTCTAACTATACAAAGAATCATGTAGGATATGATTACCAGTTATTTCCAGTTTGCTTAAAGTTCCTTTTCCCATTAAAGAGGAAGAATCTAACATTACCTTAGTATGATACATTTTTACATGAACTGTCTCAAAGCAAATACTAATACTCAAAGCTGTGAGGTGGTATTTTTTTTTTTTTTAAATAGATGAGACAGTATTAGTAACTGAATAACTAGTTAATAACATAGTTGGATTTATATTCTGGTGTGTTTTCTACCTAGTGTGGGCAAACGTTTTCAGCTCTACCACCGTTGAGTGCTTATATCAATATTGTTGGACACAGATTAAGGGAATTTTAAATACCCACTGCAGTTGGTATTACGTTTTTATTGTTCAAAAAATGATTTGAGGTGTGTGGCATCTTACATACTTAGAGCTTTACCAGTGTTTGGGTGTCCATCTGCTGGTATTTTAAGGAAGCAATATATTTGAGTGTAGTTTTTAATGGCTATAATGTAGAGCAGGGTTTTTCATCCTTGGTGTTATTAACATTTTGGGCTGAATAATTTTTTTGTGGCTAGCTGTTCTGTGCATTGTGGGATGTTTAGCAGCATCCCTGCCCTTTTCTCAGTAGTTTCAGTTGCACTCCCCCATGTGAAAACTGAAATCTCTCCAGACACTGCCAGATGTCTTCTGGTGGTGCAGTATTTTCCTTAGTTGAGAACCACTGGTGTAGGGTGACTTGGCTTTTTCAAAGTCTGCTGAATAAATGAAAAGTTTTTGTTGGCATTGCAGGGCTCTGTTGCAAATAAGTTCTACGTTCACAATGATATCTTCAGATACCAAGATGAGGTCTTTGGTGGCTTTGTCACTGAGCCTCAGGAGGGTAAGTTACTTGTCTAAATTTTTTTTTGATGGCATCAGGTTGACTTGAAGACAGTATGGGTTTCTTGAAAAAAAATTTTTTTAAGATGTTATTTATTTATTTGACAGGGAGAGACACAGTGAGAGAGGGAACACAAGCAGGGGGAGTGGGAGAGGGAGAAGCAGGCTTCCTGCCGAGCAGGGAGCCCCATGTGGGGCTCGATCCCAGGACCCTGGGACCATGACCTGAGCCGAAGGCAGATGCTCAACGACTGAGCCACCCAGGCGCCCCATTGAATGTTTTTATTATACTCTGTATTCTTCATTAATAACTTCTAATTGTCAAGACGGAGGAAGGGTCTGCGTTTTTAACCTACATGGAGCTAATAGGTTAGCCTATTTCATGGAAGACCTGAAACTCCTAAGTCAGTAGTAGGTATACTCACTGCAACAGTGTTAAGCATTTTTGCCACAATTTCCACGGGACACCATGAAGTCCAGATGATACCTGCATTGGAGTAGGGTGCATTTTAGGAGTGGAACCCTAAGTTTAAGGAATCAAAATCTTTTATAATGGGCAGTAAACATACCTGCCCTTTGCTCTAGAGGGAGACACTGTTTTTCTGAGGCTGTTTGCTGTATAAATGTTCTTAAAAGATAGTTTGAAACAAAGGGTAGCCATTGCCTTAGTTGTAAGATGTGCAGATACGTGAGAAACCCATGACGAATTGCCTCTAAACACTAATAATAATCAGTTTATTAGTGTTTTCTGTATGGCTGAAATGATTCTAAATGCTTTATATTTATTGTGTAATACAACAGGTTTATAGATAAGTACTTTAAGTACTATTCTTATTTAATGGATTAAGGCACTGAGATGCAGAGAAGTAATTCACCTGATACTGTATATCTAGTTAGGTGGTAGAGCCTGCATTGGATTATGGACAGTATGACCTCAGACTCCCATGTTCTCAGCCCAAACACTAGAATTAAGCCTTAATTCTGTCCTTAAAGCCTTTGCCATGATATTACCAATTTGCTGTGCTTTATCTATATATATATGTGTGTGTGCTTATTTCATTACTTCTTTTTTTTTTTAGTTTCGTGTGTAAGATACAGTGATTCCATACTTCCATACAACACAAGTACACCTTTTAATCCCCAACACGTATTTAACCCATTCCTCCATCCACCTCATTACTTTGTTGAGCATGGTGAGCATTGTGAAAGTGAATATAAAGCTGACCTTTGAACAACATGGGGGTTAGGGGCACTGCCACTTCCCCACCCCCCCCGAAAATCCCCATTTAACTTTTGACTCTACAAAAACTTAACTACTAATAGTCTCCTGTTGACTGGAAACTTTACTGATAACATAAACGGTCAATTAACACATATTTTGTATGTTGTATGTATTATGTATTAAGGTAAGCCAGAGAAAAGGAAATACCATTAAAACTCTAAGGAAGAGAAAATACATTTACGGTACTGTACTGTATTTATCAAGAAAAATCTGCGTATAAGTGGACCTGCACAGTTCAAACCCTCTTGTTCAAGGGTCATGTGTATGAGAATTAAATAAGCACGAATTACTTGAAATTTGTTTTTTTATATAGAATCTGAGGAAGAGGTAGAGGAACCTGAAGAAAGACAGCAGACACCTGAGGTGGTACCTGATGATTCTGGAACTTTCTATGATCAGACTGTCAGGTAAGAAAAGCTTTGTTCATCTGTCCAGAGCTGCATGAGAATTTAGGTTGTCTCGTCTTTCCCTTTGTTGGAGGGCAGTCATACTCTCTCAGAATTATTTCAGAATATAACAGTAATTTCCTAGAAGAAAGGTTTTGCTTTTGATATCACTGAGCTAAGAAAAATAACTTGCTTGGCAATAAGTGAAAAATAGATTTTGGGATCTCTTACCAAGTATTTAATATATCAAGGCATTGCATTAAGTGCTTTGGGGGGAAATAAATATGTTCAAGGACTTATTTAAAGATCAGGCATAAATTGGTAGAAATTCAGACATGAATTAAATAGCAGTTAATTTCAATAAGTAACTCAGACAACAAATGTGTGACTGTCTTAAGCTGTGTTTTTTCCTCTGCATCCAGAACAAAAATGTTTGATAGGAATAGAAATGAATATTTACTTGTTGCCATGTGATATGAAACCGTTGGTGTTAGTATTTAATGCTTAAAGGATATTTTCATGTATTTATTTCTCAAGGTGTGGTGATGGACTAACCACATTTACTCATCTGGGTTGCTGGTTGAAAATCTATTGTCCCATCACAGACATGCCAAATTAGAATTTCAGGGGGGAAAACTGCAACATTAACAAACACTCCTTGTGATTTATGTGGAAGTTTTAAGAGCTAGTATTCTAAATCATAAATAATGTCTTTTTTTCTCTAAAATTGTGATTTATTATGAGAGGCTTTTTTGATGGTAAAAATTGCATAATATAAAATTTACCTTCTTAACCATTTTTAAGTGCATTGTGTAGTAATGATTAATTATATGCACATAGTTATGCAACCAGATCTCTAGAACTTCTCATCTCTCAAAACTAAAACTATATCCATTAAAAAACTCTTTTTCCCCTTACGCACAGCCTATTAGTCTTTTGTTATGTGTGGTAGGTAAATGGGTGAGAGTTTTGGGATTATAACAAACCATGATTTGATTCATTTTGATCTATTTTGATGTATTTGCTTATCAGAATTTAGCAAATCTGATTGCAGTTAAGATTTGCTCATTGAGTGCTCTTCTAAAAAACTGTCTTTTTTTAATATTCAGATAATGGAATTCCTAGATTTTTTTTGGAGAGCTATTTTCTGGTTCAGGTTTCTATAGTTAATAAATACTTGGGAATTTCTTGCTAAATCAGTAGAGTCAGAATGATATTTCTCTAATTTTCCTGTGAAAGCAATGACTTAGAAGAACATTTAGAGGAACCTGTTGCTGAACCGGAGCCAGATCCTGAACCAGAACCAGAGCAAGAACCTGTATCTGAAATCCAAGAGGAAAAGTCTGAGCCAGTATTGGAAGAAACTGCCCCTGAGGATGCTCAGAAGAGTTCTTCCCCAGCACCTACGGACATAGCTCAGACAGTACAGGAAGACTTGAGGGTATGCAATATGTCTTTCTTCTTACTCTATTTCTGGTTGATTTTTAAAAATCTCTCTTCTCCTTTATTATTGTTACATTGATTTTTGTAGGTACATTTTTTGGTTCAGGGAAATTTCTTACATATTGAGCCATCCCTCAGATAAGTAAGATAGATGCATATTGTTTTATAAAAGTAACTTTCCTCCTCTCCCAAGGAAACTTGAATACTTTTTATTAGACCAGAAATTTCAGGTGTTACTTTATCACCATATTAATAACCCCTCATTTTTTAAATATTTTGTTTCAAATTATGACATGCTTGTTAGAACCAATAAGAGAGAATGTATCTTTCTGAAAAACATCATGGCACAATAGACTTACTCCTGCTTTTTTTCTGAAATCTAATTGAGGATAACTTTACAGTAGAAGTAGAAACAAACTATGAAATATAGCTACTTTTTTATTTAGAATACTTGATTTCAAAAGTTTGAAGCTTTTCAGTTAGTCCTGAGTCTCATCAGGGTGATGTTAACTGAAATCATAGAACCTTTACATTTGTGAAGGAATATGTTTTAATGCTTTATTTATGGGGTCAGGGTTCTTATGTCATTTATCTAATTGTTAATTCAGGTGCTTCTGGGCGAGGCATTGTTCTAGGTATGGGAACTATTGGTTAAACCGATAGTGTTCTTGGTCTCTCTCTGGCAGTAATGAGGTGAATAGGAAAGAGAAATGTGCAATGACTTCAGCTTGCCAGTAGAAAAGTAGGTTGGCTGGATTGGGAAGGAATAACTAATTAGGTGGCTATTGTAGTAGTCCTGGAGATAAATACTGATAACCTGGGATGAAGGTTGTGGCAGTGAAGATAACGAGGTAAATAGCAAGATTTGGTAAGTTTGATATGGATTAAAAAGGTGTTCAAGGTAATTCTAAAGTTTGTCATTGAATTGATGTTTGTGCCATCAGTTGGAATCATAGGAAGAGCTGGTTTTGGAGGAATTTTCTTTGATTCACAAACTTGAAATTGAGTGAAACGAGCTTCTTAGGACTAAACTTTCAATATTTTGCTGTACTTGATGACTAGTTCTAGGGAATTTTAGTACTAAATTTTGTAAGTAGGGGGAGAAAAGGAATCTCGAGATACTTACAAAGTAACTCCATTCTACCTGTGAAAATGTGATTCATATGTATAAGAAATGAAGAACTAATAGCTTTTATATTGTTTTGATATGGGTAATCAATTAATGTTGTTCCCTTAGACATTTTCTTGGGCATCTGTGACCAGTAAGAACCTTCCACCCAGTGGAGCTGTTCCAGTTACTGGGATACCACCTCATGTTGTTAAAGTACCAGCTTCACAGGTGAGTTTCTAAGCTTGTATATTAGGCCCATTTGCTTGTATTTCATGTAATTTGGTTTCACATAGGCTTAGAGAATGTGGGAGCTGGTACAAAGAGTAGAGAAGAGATGGTTTTTAATAATTTCCTTTGTGAGAGAATTGTCATTTTCTCTTTTATTTATTTGAGAGAGAGCATGAGCGTGCACTTGTGCGCGAGGGGAGGAACAGGGACAAGCCCACTCTGCACTGACTGCAGAGCCCCACATCGGGCTCAATCCCAGGACCCTAAGATCATGACCTGAACTGAAACCAAGAGTCGGATGCTCAGCCGACAGCCACCCAGGCACCCCTGTCATTTTCTCTTTTAAACCTTATTGTTAGCTAAGAAACTTTACAAGAAAAAAGGTCAGCTTGCTTTGTTTTTACACAGACGTTGACTTATAAATTTTTCAGCCTCGTCCGGAGTCTAAGCCTGAGTCTCAGATTCCACCGCAGAGGCCTCAGAGAGATCAAAGAGTGCGAGAGCAACGAATAAGTATTCCTCCCCAGAGGGGACCTAGACCAAGTAAGAGCTCAGAAGGGTGACTTGTCTAGTTTGGGGGAATTTGAGGTGAGAGCTTGTGTCTTAGGGGTGGTTGATATTTTCTACTTTAAAAAATTCTGGAGCTGGGGGAATTACCTGGGTTTAGGGGTGGAGAAAAAAATTATTGAAAGAAATAGTCACTGAAAAATGTCTTTCTCTGTCTTTCATTGCTATTTTTGTTTAAGTCCGTGAGGCTGGTGAGCAAGGTGATGTTGAACCCCGAAGAATTGTGAGACACCCTGATAGTCACCAACTTTTCATTGGCAATCTGCCACACGAAGTGGACAAATCGGAGCTTAAAGATTTTTTTCAAAGTAGGTTGAGTTTTATGTATTTTTAATTTTTACATTTTTTTTTTTTTTTTTAAAGATTTAAGAGCGAGAACAAGAGGGGGGGATTGTGAGAAAGATTGGGGGCGGGCAGAGGGAAAAGCAGATTCCCTGCAGAGGAGGAAGCCCAATGCGGGACTTGATCCCAGGACCCTGGGATCATGACCGGAGCCGAAGGCAGATGCTTAACTGACTGAGCCACCCAGGTACCCAAGTAGGTTGAGTTTTAAACACTAGATTCATCCGCAGTGTTGTCCAATAGAAACAGATGGGCCACATACATAATTTTAAGTTTTCTAGTGGCCACATTTTTTTTTTTTAAAGATTTTATTTATTTATTTGAGAGAGAGAATGAGAGTGGGGAGCGGCAGAGGGAGAAGCAGACTCCCCGCCGAGCAGGGAGCCCGATGCGGGACTTGATCCAGGGACTCCAGTATCATGACCTGAGCCGAAGGCAGTCGCTTAACCAACTGAGCCACCCAGGCGCCCCACATTTTATTTTTTTTAGCGGTCACATTTTAAAAAGTTAAAAAGAAATCTGAATTTAATTTTAATATTTTATTTAACCCAATGTATCTAAAACATCATTTCAGCATGTAAAAATGAGAGAGATTTTATGTTTTTCTGTACTAAAAGTTTTTGAAGTCCAGTGTGTATTACACTTAATGGCACTTCTTGTTTCGGAATTGCCACACTTCAAGTGGTCTGTATCCACAGGTGACTAGTGGCTATCAGTGGATAGTGCGTATGTAATATTTAAAGGGAATGTTCTAATCAGTTATTTGAGAGTCTGCGTTTCGCTTGCAGGTTATGGGAATGTGGTGGAGCTACGCATTAACAGTGGCGGGAAATTACCCAATTTTGGTTTTGTTGTGTTTGATGATTCTGAGCCTGTTCAGAAGGTCCTTAGCAACCGGGTAAGCAGTTTTTCATCTTGATTTGTTTTTGTTTTTTTTTTAAACAAGAGTATCTTGGATCTTTGAATGTATTCATCCTTAAAACTATGTCTTCTAAGTAAAGTACAGTTGATTCCAACATGTTTGGGTAATATATTCCATGGTGATTGGCCATTACTGTTAAAAGACTTGCCTGGGAGTTTAACAAAACTTATGTCTAAATATCTTAATTTTGGAGCCATTGAATGTGAAGAGATGAAATAACTATTAGTTACCAATGCACTGAAATTTATGCAGATTTCTTTCCTTGCGGGGGGGTGGTTCTGGTTTAGGAGATGAACTACAGTGTTAACTTTTAGCTGAGATAACTTAAAAGTCAATTTTCCCTGGGCAGTTTTGATATATGGCTATTATCTGGGTCTAACTGTGAGGAGCTTCTCCTTTTATTCTATAAGTTGTCTAGGTTTGGAGTCACCCTGCCTGGAACCACTTTTATTAACAGATCGCTTCTTAACAGTACTTTTTAATCATAAGAGGGATTTTGTAGAATTGGAATCTTATTACTTTGTATTTCTTAAGGAACCCTTCCCTTCTCCTACATCTTTCATTAGCCAAAAAAAAAAAAAAAAAAAAAAAAAATCACTTTTTAGTAGTAACAGTAGAGAAAAACAAAAGTGTAAATATTTATTTACTGAGATGGGTGTGGGAGTTTAAAAATCCCACTTTTTAAAAAAAATTGAGGTGAAATTCACGTAACATAAAGTTAACCATTTTAAGGTGTAAAATTTAGTGGCTTTTAATACATGTTGTGCAACCATCACCTGTCTTGCTACAAAACATTTTTATCAAAAGTAAACCATTTATCCATTAAGCAGTCCTTTCCCATATCTTCTCTCCCCAGCCCTTGGCAACAACTAATCTTTCAGTCTCTGCAGATTAAAACTATGTATTTTATTAACCATGAAATAGAAATGTTGTAGATCTTTTTTTTTTTTTTTTTTAAGATTTTATTTATTTACTTGAGAGAGAGAGAATGAGAGAGAGAGAACACATGAGAGGGGATAGGGTCAGAGGACGAAGCAGACTCCCCGCCGAGCAGGGAGCCCGATGCGGGACTCGATCCCAGGACTCCAGGATCATGACCTGAGCCGAAGGCAGTCGCTTAACCAACTGAGCCACCCAGGCGCCCGAAATGTTGTAGATCATTATTTCCCAGAGGTTCTGTAGAATCTCTGATGTTCTTCACAGTGTTGATGGCTATACTGTAAAACTTAATGTTGTGGTTTTAACATTATATGAGCTTTAATCTGCAAATGTGTATTTAATCTTTCAAACTATTTGACCACTTTTTATGAAGCATCGCCTGCAAAACACTTAGAAATGAGGAGAGAACAGTGGCTTACCTTAGCATAGCCACAGAATACTGAACCTAGAAATGTCGCATAGGCTTTGTGCATAAATCCATCATTCAGCATGCAAAAAAGATCCAGTAGCCAGCCTTTTTGGTGCAGGCTTGAATTGATCCTTAGAGGGTCTGATATTCCCAGTGGGCCAAAAGAGGTCAGACCTGATAACTGGCTTCTTAATTGTCCAAGTAAGGAGTTTGTTTCATTTAATGCACCTGGATAAGCTGTGGCATCTTTATGCTTAAGAATATTTTGAAATAAAATTTCCTCAGAAAGGAGCTATATGTTTGGTACATTTTTCTCATTCAAATTACTTTTACCCTTGTGATAACTCCTCAGAGATGTCTTCAGTTACTACCTTTTAAAACATGCCCAGCCCCAACCTCTCTCCTTATCTTTCAGACTTTAATATGGTGGTGTTTTTTTCATTGTATGTAGAATATTGCCTGGAACAGGTCTTCAGATTAATGTGTTTGAAAAGGTTTATATAGTGTGAATATTAAAATGTTGAACAGATTTTTAATATTTTAGTGTTAATGTACTTATGAATGTACAAATACAAATATGCATTTAATCAGAATTTTATTTTTTGTTTTTTTTTAAAGATTTTATTTATTTGAGAGAGTGAGCGGGAGTGGGAGAGAGGAGAGTGCAGGGGGAGGGGAGAGGGAGAAGCAGGCTCCCCATTGAGTAGGGAGCCTGATGCAGGGCTCAATCCCAGGACACCAGTATCATGACCTGAGCAGAAGGCAGATGCTTAACTGACTGAGCCACCCAGGCACCCCTAATCAAAATTTTAAATATGTTACAGTTAGAGTTCTAAAGAGACCTTTCTGGGGCGCCTGTGGTTTAAAGTGTATACTTGCCTGTCAGGATGCCTTCATTTACATTCTGCTTCCATTGTTCATTATGTTGTGACCTGTGGGTTCGTTCCTTAACCTTCTTGGCCCTTAGTTTGCTGGTCTCTCAAGTAGGTGTAATGACAGCCCTCATATGGTTGTGAATGTTAAATGAGATAATAGGTGTGAAGTATACAGAACACTTCTCTCCATAGTAAGCACTGTTAGATATTTACTTTTAAAAAATATGTCACTTAGAAAACCAGTGCGTGCCAGTGAGGAGCATAAATTGAATTCATTGTAATCTCGAGTAACCCTTTATTTTCTACTTTAGATCTGTTGGACTAAAAGGCAGGCCCAGGACGTAGGATATATCTTTTTTTCCTTTGCTGAGCTCTGTTATCTTTATTATCTTCAGTATTTTCCAAAATTTTGTTAAGGCAAATAGCATTTTGTTACAATTTTGTTTAGATGGAATTAATGATGTTTTTGAGATGGATATGTACTTTGCATAAATAATGTGCAGCACAGTCTTTCCACATTAGGTGATGATGGAAGATTATTCTAAGCCTTCATATCCATGGGGAAGGTGGCAATTCTTATTTATATTCAATAATGTAATTCTATGGGAAAGTAAGATTTGCTCTAAGGAGTACGAGAGTTACTCGTGCTGCTGTGTTGTAAATTGTCTTTTTTTGAACTAGCTTGCATACCTAACTCCTCCCACCTTTGCATGTATTTGTTAATTGGGAGAATTACGTGTTCTGAGTTGGAAATAAAAACTGAACTGAGAACATAGCTGATTTGTAAGCTGCTGGTTCTTCGTAATAGCTTTCTTGATATTTGGTAGTTGGAAGCCCATAAGCACATAAGCACTGTGTAAGTCTGCTTACCTTGATTCCTGCAGCCCATCATGTTCAGAGGTGAGGTCCGTCTGAATGTGGAAGAGAAGAAGACCCGAGCTGCCCGGGAAGGGGACCGTCGAGATAACCGCCTGCGGGGACCTGGAGGCCCTCGAGGTGGGCTGGGTGGTGGAATGAGAGGCCCTCCCCGTGGAGGCATGGTGCAGAAACCAGGATTTGGAGTGGGAAGGGGAATTGCTCCAAGGCAGTGAATTGCTCTTCAGTTGATCTTCACGCAGCAGTACAAATCTCCTAGCTCCTGCAGAATGGTGAATTTCTTACACCAGCGTTTGGTATCCTGGAGTTTGACCCTAGTTTATTATAAACTGCTTAAGTTTGTACAATTTTACTTTTTGTGTTAATTATGTGTGCTCCCTTTCCCGCCCTTCCCTCTCCTCACCTTTTAGTCCTTCACTTCCAATTTTGTGGAATGATATTTTAGGAAAAACAGATTTTTAAAGAAGAGAAAAAGACTGAATTTCCTTGCTTTACTTTTGCATATACAGACTGGATTTTTTTTAACAGCCGTTTCCCCAAAGGAATGTGTCTTGCTTATTACTGACATTTGGTATGTTTCATTCATTGGAATATTTCTTATTTTCTATGTGTTTCAAAAACCTGTGATAAACACAGGATTTGATAAACATTTTGAAGGCAGGAAAAATCCAAATTGTTTCTTCTTTGAGAGTCATGACTACCTTCTGGTGTGTAGAAATTGCCATTGGAAAAATTGACAGTTTGATTCTTGCTGGTATGGTTAAAATAAAAGGTGTTAGTAGAGTTTTTTTTTTTTTTTCTTTTGATATGTGATCACAAAACAATTATAAACCTGTTTTTACCATTTAAATTGTGAGAAAGGTTTTAATGTCTAGAATGCAACTGATCTAGATTTCTTTTGAAGTAGTTTTTTCATGTTTAATTTGTATTTGTAAAAAAAACAAAACCCAAAAACAAAGAAACCCCAAAATCCAAATAACACAAAACCAGAGCAAAACTTTTGTGCCTTCTATTTATCTTTGATTCCAGCCTTGGCAGTTGTTTAAAGAAAAAAAAAAAAGTCTAGATTTGTTTTATCAGGTGTAGAGTATGTTGGGAATTGAAGAATCCCTCTTTTACCTGGTATGTCTTCTGTTCATTTGTTACGCCTTATTCTTAAAATTGAGTCTCAAACTGGAATGCCTTTAAGGACAGATACACTTCTATGAGAGGTCCTTTGACCTAAGTAGTCCAGCATTTGTATTAAGTTTTATTTCGGTAAATATTCAGAATCCTAATCATAGCCCATAAAAAGGAATATGACTTTAATATTGGACTTTGTGCTTGAGTGTCTGCCCGTTTTTTTTTTTTTTTTCCTTTAAATCATAGCCATATGGTAAATTTTCTATTTTGTTATGGTTCTCTTTTATTGATGGGCATGCAGTGGGTGTTTCTTGGAAATGGCCAATTTTTATTAAAATATTTCTGGAAGAAAATTTAATCTGGCAGTATAGACTAATATTCGTTTTACATAGTATGTTAATTTTTTGAGTGCCGTGTGTGAGATGGCTGAAGGTTTTGTTTACACATTTGTGAAGCAAACCTTTGTGTGATAAGTTGTCATACTAATTGAAGGGCAACGAGGTTGTCAAATTTAACTTATTTATTTTCTTAACAGTGTTCATCATTAGGACTGTTTGAGGATAGTATATGAGTAGGAATAGGAATGTTTGTTTTGCTGTTACTGGGAAACTCAAGGATTGCTGAAGGGTGTAGTCTTAAAATGAAGTTCGATATTATTGGTCCTCAGTACCTGAAATATTTGAAAATTGGCAACATCTCCTTCATAAAGATATGTAACTGAGTCGCATGGCTGTTTTTGGGTCAGCTTAAATAACTATTTGGTAACCACTTCATTTGGCCCAGGCCAGCGATAATTGGAAGACATTCAACTTGTACTTTTGTAGCTTATATTAAGCCTGTGGTGGAAATAAAAAAACTTAGCTGGAGTTGTTTTTGAAAAAAAATATTAAGTTGTAGTAACTGTAAGGTCATAAATTATGGATAACCTAGAAATCATTTTTCACAAGTAAATGTTAATCCATACATTTCACTAGGCATTTTTCCTACTCAGTAGTTTAAGGGCACCAGCTGGATGCCGTGATTCTCAACCCGGGCTGTTAATACATCCTAGAGGACATTTGGAAATGGGTGAGACTTGGGGAGGAGGGAAGAGGAGACACCACATCTGGTATTTAGTGGGTAGGGCCAACAATGTCATATGGTCTATAAAAATAAAGCAAACGCCATTGAGATCATATTCCTCATTCCCTATAATACATGGAAGATGGAGGGGAGGGGTGGGTGAGGACAACTGGAGTAAAGACTCAATCCTTTGAAAAATAGCCTCAGATAAATGAATTAGCAAATAGAAATCTCTTTCAGGAATTAATAGTAACATCTACTGCAGGGACTTTATTTGTACCCATGTGTGATTTTTATTTTATTTTATTTTATTTTATTTATTTGAGAGAGAATGAGTGAGAGAAGGTGCGCACATGAGAGAGGGGAGGGTCAGAGGGAGAAGCAGACTCCCTGCTCAGCAGGGAGCCGGATGCGGGACTCAATCCCAGGACTTCAGGATCATGATCTGAGCCGAAGGCAGTCGCTTAACCAACTGAGCCACCCAGGTGTCCCCCCATGTGTGATTTTTAAAGAACTATTTGGAGAGGTAGTAACAATATGCTAGATGCTTCTTGTAACTTGTTGCATAAGCTTAGAAAACAAAAGGGTTGCTTCAGTAATTTCAGGTGATCAGAATGGGATGATTATGGAGTTTGAAATAGCATTGGACTTTATATGTCAGATTTGGCATCATGGTTAACACTATGAAGAATCCCAGTATCATTATTTACGTTACTGCTGTTAGAATAAACATGACACCCTAGATAGTATATATTCACACAGGTAGAAAGTGAAAATAGGTTAGGGCAAGATTTTCTGTAGGCAGCATAAGGTCATCACATTCAACCTTTTCGGGTTTTAAAATGCAACTTTTCATCTGTAAGAATGGCCCAATATACAGTTCTTTTCTCCTGAGCTTTAAACCCTTCACCCATGAGTATTTTAGCTAAGTAAGATTAGTTTGGTTCAATGGGTCTTCCTCTTTTAAGATCTTGGGCCTTACAAAAATACATTGTGTTCTTTTGTGGTGAGGCTGGGCTTTACTTGTGTATTCCTATGTTTTCAACTTTTTGAGCTATTGCGGGAAGTAGTGAAATGGGTAATCCAAAAATCGTTAATTGGCTTTGGGTGGTGGGTAGGTTACTAGCACAGTATTGGTTGAACTGCACTTTGGTTTTAGGCTAGAAAACTAATTTTCACAATTACCCTGTGGATTAGGTGCTATTTTTCCCAAAGTAATAGATGAAGAAGAAATTGCATCAGAGCAGTTAAATTTTAGGTCTCTAAGTCATCCATGTAGTAAGAGCAGATTGGCTTCCAAAATTGATGCTTTTTCTCTAGAGCTCTAATGCCTACGTATTTACATTTGAGTGATACGCTGAAAAATAGGACATGACCGTAGTAAGTTACTACAGTACAGAGACCTGAGCCTGTAAAACATTCAGAGAAAGGTTAACATTACTCTTCTCCATTTCCTTTAAGGTAAACAAGATAAGCAAACACTGATTTTACAGGGCTCCTTTTGATTTGTATAGACTGTGGTAACACAGTAACAATGACTTGTTCTTAGGTTATTTTCTCATCTGGTTTTTTAATACATGTAGTACAACCTTGAAATCTGGATGTAGAAGGTAACAATATTTTTATAATACTTAAAGCAGGTGGGTTTATAGCAGTTGTGTTTTCTGCTTATAACTACCATCCTTTGATACTTTTCTTCATCCCTTTATTTGAAAACCCTTGTAGAGTTTAATAATTTAGTCGGAAACGTGGCACTTTATAGAAAACAATTTGTTAGAATCTATATGGAAATCTTTATGAGGTTTAAATTTATAGACCATTGTTTATGCTGAGTGGCTTATTCCTTTTAAGTAAATGGTTGCATTTGTCAAATCTACTGATCTAAAGATAACTTATTGAAGTTTTATTTTCGTGCTACTTAAAAGAATCTCTGCAGGAACTGCATACAAATGAGATGATTGACCCTTTTGTTCAGCAGTTTTAAACCTTGTTAAAAAAAAATAACTTCAACATTTATTTGAATATGGGATTTTAGATAACCGCTTGCCATACCACAGATGGGCAGTGGACAATTAGACGTAGTCTTCCACAAATGTTTTAGAAATCTTAAAGAATGTGTTAGAAACTTAGCAACATTTTGTGTGGGAAGTTGCTGATCAAGTAATCGCCATGTGGCAGTAGATCAGTAAAGATTTCTGGTTTTAAGGTAGTAATACCTTTTGGGATTTGTATTTGTTTACTGTGATGTTGAGGTTCTGGGGACCATAGGTAGGCTTGTGAACTCTTAGGAGACTATATTAAAGGAGAAATGGTAGCACATGTGAGATAAAACTTATTTACTTCTTAGTGGATATGTAGCTAGCTCAGGATAATGCTGAAATTAGTCTGCTTTGCTCATGCTTTCATAAAACAGTCTCATTATGGCCTGAATGAGTAAAAAGTTGATTAGCAGTGGTCTAAAAAACCCATGGTTTTGGTTTTGATTATATTTATATATTGGCTTAGAATTAAGCTTGTTCACTTTCTGATTATATGACTTGCTTTGAAAACCTTGGACAGTCTCTGTGTCTCTAGTTTCCCCTTGAACCTGGTAGTTTGTTTTGTTTTGTTTTGTTTTTTAGTTCCCTACAAGACGTTCTCTTGTAGGGAACTAAAATAGTATTGGAAATCAGTTCCACAGTTACTTCCATAGACCATGTGACCTGGTCAGTTACAGAAATCTGTACACGTTGAGTACTTTGGAATATGGCCAGTGTCACAGATCCCTAAGGGACTTACAGCCATCCAGTGTGTCTTCATCTTTTAAGAAAGCAAATTAAGGGATTTTTACCAAAAATTCACTGTTGAATTTAACAAATATTTATTTTTCAGAACCCTGCTTATGGGAAGTTTGCCTGTGTTTTTGGTAGTAATTAGATGATTATATCTTATTCTGGATGTAAACAAGTTTTAACTATTGCTGTAATTAACCACCTTAGTTACTGATTTTTCCCCAAGCTTTGATGTCACCTGTTGGATTTTGGATTTGGTTTAAATTCTTAAATGTTTTTATGAAGTGTATATACATTGATTTGGCCCTTTTAAATGAAGACACTATACCGAAAAACTGGCATAAAGAAGTTAGGGGAGAAGAACAGGTCTTCTTTTCTTTAAAGATTCAGTGTATGCTTAAGTAGATTATGTAGAACACATCATGTTACAAATGAGTTTATACAGGTAGATGTTAGATTTTGAAGAAAGGATGGAGGTGGAACTTAGCTGATGGGATAGCAATCATTTGTGATGTATATGGAAAAAAATCATAATCCTAAGTGAGAAACATCAGAATATTTAAAGTTTTTCTTCCCATTCTGATTATTAACCATAAGAGGCAGGAGAGAGTCCTAGAATTCTTTGAGTCATAGAATGCTAGTGCTGGAAAGGACTAAAGAGTTTGTACATCCCCTTCATCTTTCAAAAGAGAGATGGCTCATCTTTCAAAAGAGAGGGATTATTAGCACAGAGTCCCATATTGGCTTGTCGAAGTAACATGGAGCGCCGTCAGGGTCACCACTCTGCCCTAGGTTCACTGTAGGAAGCCAGAACTGTTAAGGTCAGGATGTGGGGAGAAAAGGGATGGAGCCACATTTTATATGCTTATTCAGTTGCTTCTATAGCTCGGTTTTCATACCCAGTTTTTCTCTTGTCTTAATGCCCAGTTCTACCAGGGCCTGTTGTCTAAGGACATTACCTTGTGCTCCCCTCAGGGATGGGTTTACTACTAGCTGTCAGAAAGCTATTGGGTATCCTAGTGTGTTAATAGCTGAAACTCAGCTGTAATTTTCTCCTGAATCCTTCAGCATTTTGCATTCTGTACATTGTGGTGCTTTTTCCACCTTGTATTGTTATAACTGTAAGCTCCTAAGGGGCGGCAATTTGGTCTTAGGCATGTACCCTGTTCAGTGCCTGGCAGCGCCATGTTCGTATCAGGGTCCTAATCTTCCTTTCCAGTGACTTCTCCCATGCTTCATGGAGGTGGTGCGCCAGCCCTGCTAAACTGCTTAGGATTTTTCTGATAAGCCTGGCATTGCGGATTTTGTGGCTTCAAGTGCCTTCCTTCTTCCCTGAAGATAGACTTGCATCCAAACCCCCCTTCCCCAAATCTCTTGCCATCAGAATTAAGTTTTTCAAGACCCAGTTCAAGAGCATTTTTCTTTTCCCTAAGAGAAAAGGTTTGCAACAGGAGTGGGGAGCGCCCTTCTCGGGGTTGATTTGGCCAGAATTTGAAGTGGGGAGCAAATTCTTTCTTGTCTGGTTCTCTTCTACGTTGTCCTTCCTGTTTGAGATTCTGTCCCATCCTTCATTTTTAAAAATACGTGTTCATAGAGCACTTTATAGATTTCTCGTAGCTCACAATTTGCCCCTTCAACCTACAATTAGAATGACCTGTAGCTGTTTTACTACCTTATTAGACCATAAGCTCCTAGAGGCAAAGGACTGGGGGATTATCCCTGCATTTCCCCAGAAGGTACAGTGACTTCCATGAAGAGAGTCCTTAAAAGATGACTCACTGGGTTGAATAAATTAATGTATTTGTTTTCATTCTCACAAGTGAGGCATGCCTGGAGATAGGACTTAATAAATTGTAGGCACTGTGACAATTCATAGTGGAGGGATTTGTTGGGGAAATTTGAGGGGTGGGCAGAGGAGGGAGGAAGTCACTGGTCATTCAGAGGTACTTCCATCCTTAGTCTGGGTGATAGGCCATTTTTTTCTGTGCCCCGTATATCCCAGACACTTTGTTCTATGCAGAAGGATTTTATGTGCCAACTTTCATTTCTTTACACAAACCGAGTCCCTTGTTCTCTGAGTTCATGTCATCACCCATACCACAAGTCTAAGTCCTCTGCTGCTTTTTTTCTTACTCCAGCAAAGTCCTGTCAGTGCTACCTCAAGTCTTTCACATCTCTTTTCTCCTCACTCAGATAATCTCAATGGCCTCTCAACTTCCTTTACCTGTTCTGACCCCCAGGCTACCTTATACACAATATTAGATTCATCTTACTGAAACATAGCTCTGACCATGTATCCCATGTATGTGTTCTATCTTCCCTGCTAGACTGTAAGCTCCTTATGGGCAGGATCTGTGTCGGAGTCATCTTTGTATCTCCCATAGTACCTATCAATAAATATTTCTTGAATGAACCAACATAAAGCCTTGTCTTAAGTGAAATGATGTTTTCCAGGTTCATTGTAGGTTCCTCGCTGAGGTAATCACAGTACTGCAGAAGTTTCTTTCACATACAAAGTTGGTTAAACAGTAACAACTAGGAGTTAACCACAGAGAAAATTTCAGAAAACTTTAATTTTTTTCCATTGGAATCAGCATGGATATGTGTATATGGATGGTTCAACAAATATATTTTTATATACATGTATCACAGAAATTTTACATTACATCTTCAAACTGCAGAAATAGATTTTTTTTTATAAGCCAAAAAATAACTGCCATAACTTTTATGACTTCATGCAAAAAAGGGGGAAGAGTTGAGGGGTAAAAGGGAATTGGTTGTTTCAGGTTAAGGGTCGTAAGAAGTAAAAATGTTACATTAAGGAAGCGATTGCTTAACACGCTGCTTAAGGTGGTAGCCAAACAAATCCTTAACTGCAGCATTAAGGCCATACCAAGTTTATACATATATACAGAGAAATTTCCATATAAAAGACATACTATCACATTTTCTTCTGGGAAAGGATGAGGAGCTTTGTGAGTAATTCTGACCCAATTTTCCAGGCCAATTAATTGTTGAAGATGTCCCCAGGATCCTTCTAAATCTCTTCTACTTTGGCTAGCTGTCAGTTACTTTTATGTGGGCTTGTGACTTTTGTAGTCTTTTACGTGGAAGTATGAATCATCTTGAACCTCTTCCACTATGGGTGATGAAGCACTTTGTAGTTTAACTCACCCTGCCCAAAAGCCCAGCATATTTTTTTACATATCCCGAAAGTATTGGAATCACAGTTGGAATTGTAACTTGGCAGTTGTCTTACCTGTAACAGACTCCACGGCCAATGCTGGCATTGTGACCTGAAGAATTAAACAGTGCCTGTTCTTCGGGGTTAAAATAATTTTTTGAGTAGTTAAAGTTTAATGAACCAAATTGTGAGGTTTCAAGGTAACATCCCCTGGACCTGTTGAAAATTAACACTTTTACTCCCTGTATATCATGACATACTTAAGTTCCTTTTTGGAAAAAAGGAAGTGTAAAATCACTTGCAGAAAAATAACATGGGGTTTGCTTTTCTGTCTAAATATCAAATCAGGCAACTTTTAAGACAAAGGGTAGGTCTGTTGTGCAAATACCTAAATGCGTGAAATGGGGAAAATCTAAGGGCAAGTCCTTTGGAGATGACTTCCAGTTAGGCAGAAGTCATTTGCTTTGGCAAGGTTGGGGTATGACCCTTGAGAGTGCACACTCTGGTTCTTTTGGCAGAAATTGGCCTATCTTAGTGGATGAATCTTGAGTAAAAAGGTTACTAAGTCTAAGATAAATTATGTAAGTAAAATACCCTTTTCCCCAGTGACTGAGCCTTTATTTGATAATGTTATAACTCCTTTAGAATGTTTTAAATCAGTCTAATACTGCTTTTTCATTAATGTTGTCTTAGCTGTGAATTGGAAATCACTAGTAGTCCTGTTTGTCCCCATTTTCCAAGTATGGCTCCAGCATGTTTACAAGTTATGGCTGCAAGGTAATTCATTCTCCTCCTATGGGTTCCCTGGGCCAGTCAAGTTTGAGAATGAGGTCTCTGGAAATGGCCTATCTTGAGAGGACCAAAGATTGTGATTTGGAAGCCCTTTAGTATGTTTGAATACTTAGAAAGTGAGCACTCATTGTCCTTCCCAGTCATGCACCAACCGCTCTTAACGCAAAATGATGCTGGCTATTTACATTGCAATAATTTAATCTGTTCTAGATAAAGTGAATTTAGTCAACAGGTCAGTTGTGATGCTGATCTACACAATGAGACATGGACATCCTTTGGCAGTCTTGTTCTTACCTAGAGAGCTTAGAAGTGTTAAGGGTTTTGTCTTGGGCACTTTGTGGTTCACTTTGTACATTTCAAGTCTAATGATAGCAGTTGAAGACATGTGTCCAGCTTTTAAAACTTATTTGGAGGCCTCTGAGGTACCTGCTATATTTTAGTTTTAGAAGTAGAACTTGGCTGCTTAGCTTTTTTTTTCCCTTTAGGTAGTCATTTTATCTGTGCCCAATATACTAAATAGCAAGGTGCACCTATGGGAATTTTCACTCATCTCATTTTAACTGTCATTAATGCTGAAAATATTATAGTGGATTAAGTCATGGAAGATTGGACCATGAAACTATGAAATATGAATTTTAAGTGTTCTGAAGTGCATTGTGGGAACATCAATTTCTTAGCTTTTTACATGCCATTCAGGCATAT